GCCCAGACTGCTGGGGGGGGCTCCCATGATGCACCTCTTCCCCGTTTATAGGCCCAGACTGCTGGGGGGGGGCTCCCATGATGCACTTCTCCCCCGTTTTTAGGCCCAGACTACTGAGGCCAATCCATTCTATGATGGATTATGAGTTTTTCACAATGATTTGGAATCTGATTGGCTTGAATCGGACTGCATGTTTGAGGTGCTTTCAGGTGGAGTTTGATGTCATCGGGGCTTTAAAGAATAAAACTGAATTTAGCAGCAAACCAGCCAAAGTTCAGCTGCTATGCTCTGATTTCGAAGAGGCCGTACTACTGGGGAGTTTTCAGCTGTGGCCGAATCCCCCTTTTTCTTCAGTTATAAACGATCTCCAGTCTCCAACAGTCTTTTGGACCGAGACTCGAATTTCCAGACATGTGCGAGGGAGTTGTAGTAAGTTCGACAGCCTCCTGTTTTCAGTCTGTGGGCGTCACCAGATGCTCGGTATCTCTTTTAGCGTGCCTCATGTTTCCATTCCCCAGAAGTCAAATGAAGCCTTGCTTCCAAATGCTTTCATGCAGTTTCTGCCTGGAATTGAATTACTGATGGCTTTTTTTAAAAGGGATAGTTAGCTTATATGCAGCATGGCTTTGAGAACCTTCAGACTATGGAGAAACATTTAAGTTTCCAAATTATATTTTTTGGTTCTTTGAATTTCTCCAGAAATTCAGAGGATGTGTTCTGAAATTCAAACGTTAGAAAAAGCCAGGGGCCTCTGGGTTTGTAGAGCCCAGATCAGAGCTGAAGAAGAGTCAACATGAATGGAAGATATTCAAGACCAGGATGTCCAATGCAAACATTTTGTAATAAATGTGCATAACTGTAAGATAAGATGTTTGATGTATGTTTTGTCAGAGCTTGTTTGTGGATAAATGTGTATTATAGACCGAGTTCTGTTTAAATTAGAACCTACTGAGCTGCCGAGGTGCTCAGAATCAATCATATTATTCAAGATAACACGTTTTCTGTGACTGTCACTGCGCATGTGACCTTTGCTGCTTTAAAATTCAACGTTGCTCAGAAAATGAAGCGTATTCACCTCGGAGCTGTAGAGTCAAGCCTGAGCAGATACAAGTTTGTAAGATTAAAAAAAAAAAGATCCAATATCTGTCTGTTTGATGTTAGAAAGAGCCTGCAATAATGAGATGAGGAGCCCCCCCCCCCACCCACCACCATCCCTTTTTTTCAAATCCAATAAGAAACCAGCTGAGAAAAAGATCCACCTTCATCTCAGCCAGCAGAAACACACACACACACACACACACACACACACACACACACACACACACACACACACACACACACACACACTCTCGCAGCCTTTATGAAAATATCCTCAAGTCAATCAGGGTCTGCAAATTTCATGAGCCGTCTGTCGTCCTCCTGAATTTCTTAACAGGTTGTCAAAGTAATCACTGGACTCTGAGCGCTGAATCAGAAAAATCAGCTCCTCCAGACTGAAACGGTGCTCCCGGTCCCGGGGAAACAGAACAATCTCTCACACTCTGTGTGTCCAGCCCCGAAATCTCATTACACCTGCAGTCTGCGGGGACGAGTGTGGCGCCACGGGACGGCCTCCCATCATCCGTACCGGGGGGAATGAAAAGAACATGATGGGTCCGGGGGGGGGGGGGTCTGAAGATAACCCCCGAAAAGAGAAAACTTTTTTCCGATACCACACGATAATTATACTGTGTTTTTTTCTCCTTAAAGCAGTTAGAAATGAGTAGGGTTACAGATCTCTTGTCTAAATGTGTTATCAGGGCTTAGTGGCTATAAATGTAAAATTTAACTGTGAAAAACAGAGATAAATGAACCTAAAACAGATTGTTTTAGATTTTGCTGAAGCTAAGAGTGCTGAAAGTGCCAAATGGTGACGAGAGAGTGCCCACCGTTGCCAATAAATAGCTGTATTCTCTCCTAAAAAGTTGCTAAGTGATGTAATTATCTCATTTGAATATGTGGCTACTGCATGTAATTGTAATGGATGCTGTTAGAAAGAGAGGAATAAAAAGCAAATAACAAACAAAGCTCAGGCCTGGAATATTAATACGGCCCTCAATCACGGGTGGATTTTCCATTTCGGTGTTGCTTGAGAACAATAAACAGAAAATGTTGACGGGGGAGGGACGCTGTTGCTTCAATCATGTCCTCATCATCCTCCTGAGCCACGCGTTTGAATCTCAGGTTTTCTCCCCGGTGCGGGGCCTCCCACCTTTTCTCAGAAAGGACTTAAGCCTTTTCGCAGACCAAAACGCAGCATCCAGGTCAACAATGAGGCAGCTGCTGTCACCATCTGTGGGCGCCCGTTTCCTGTCATCAGGATGCCTCCGCGCTCGCCTCTTTCATCGAGTTCCCACCTGTTGGTCATCCTCAGCCCACACGGACACGTTTATGGAGCTCAGATGCCTTGTATTTCACAGCATCCTCCTCCAAAATACGCTCTCCAGCCTGTTAAAACCCGGGAAATCTCCCGTTCCACCATATAATGGATACGCTTAAAGATCGCCCCCACATCTCCTCATGTCAGGAACTCAGGGTTGTGTCTTCTTCACCCATTCCTGAGGCAAAGTTAGCGCATTAACTCACATTCACTCCTCACAGAGGAGCACCATCCTATATCCACAGTTTCCTTTGGGTTTAGTAAAGAAAATATCTATCCCTCAAAGTCTGAGGCCAGACGCCCTCTGAAGGAAACCCATTGTACCTATGACCTCATTCTTTGGACTCTGTGAGCATAGATGAAGTTTGGAGACGGTCTGACTCCTCCTGGGCTCCTCTTCCCTGAATGTCCTCTTAGAGATTAGAAGAACCGCCTGCAAAAAGTTGAGATTTACATTGTTCTTGTCCTCTTGCGCCACAGTGAGGGAGATCCAGACAAAGAGGATCGGCGGAGAATAGGTTTTAAAAAAAGGAGACAAATGGCATGAAAAAGATAGATGGCCTGAAACTAAAGTTGAAAACCAGAAAACTGAATATTAACAGAACAAACCATGAACGTGGTGAACGGAGGGATAAGGAAGTAGAAGAAGAAGACAGTCAGGACAGATACGACCCGTCGGTGAGAGGATGAACGAAAGACGGATGGCGATCAGATGAGGATCTTATCGAGAAGGGAAGAACCAGGAGAACATCTAAGGGACGAGAGATGAATGAATAAAGGCGACTGAGGAGAGTTTAGCCAGTGACCGGAAGGGGAAAGTACTGAAATGTGAAAAGATGGGACAGGAAATGCCACAATAAAACAGGAAACAGAACATAAAACACTGAGGAACCTGAAAGAAAACCAACACCAGAGGCAAGGAAGAGGAAAGAACGCAGGGACGGTGAAACTTGAGATATCCCAGTAAGACCAGACAGCACAAAAAGTCCACCAATAACAACATTTAGATTATTAACTGGAACAGACCAAACAACAGCCAGAGCTCAGGACGCCTTCGGGCACAGCTAACTTAAGGGCAGGTGTTCAGCCGTCTCTGGTCTGGTGCAGCAGCTCCATCTACAGGTTTATTTCTCCAGCTCTGCATCCTTTTCTCAGACCAGTTCAACACGTTTTCAACTGATAACACACACACATCCACCATAAAGCCTTCAGAGTCTGAGGTTCAAATGGAGGATGAAGTCCTTCTAAAACTTACAGGTTCAAATCAATCAAATTCTTGTCTATTTATAGAGCTGCTGATCGAACCAAAAGGGCGGAGCTGAGGCCTAAAACTACCCAAAAATACCTAATTATGTCTCATATGCCTCAATAAGCCTCCCAAATACCAAACTGGTAAAAAGAGCATAATAATTCACCTTTATGGACAAAGCCCAGGAAGATTGTGCTTCAGAGTTTTTATGCAAAATGCATTTTTTTCTTGTTGTATCAAATAGAAATCACAGTTTTTTCTAACGATTACTGATGAATAGTAAATGTAAACAGAGGATTGTTTCACGTTTTACTCCCAAATTAAAACAGAACAGAAAGGACTTTTTTATCCACTGTTCAACTCCACGTTACGATGCTCCGGTCGGACTCGGGTCCGGTCTGGGGACGAGGTCAGGTCTGGTCTGGGTCCGGTCTGGGTCTGGATCCAGTCTGGGCCCTTGGTCAGAGCACCAGAGGCTTGGGCTGCTCCCAGGGGAACTCCTGCCGTCCGAAGTGGCCGTAGCAGGCGGTGGGCTGGTAGATGGGCCTCTTCAGGCCCAGCTCCCTGAAAAAACGGGCAGCAGCAGGGGGTCAACGGCGGCCGAGGGGGGCTAGCTCTAACACCACCAACAGCTCTATTAGCTCTGCTAGCTCTGTTAGCTCTAACAGACGGGGGGTGCCCACCTCACAATGACCCCCGGCCGGAGGTCGAAGTTGTTCTGGACGATCCGCAGCAGCTCGTCCTCGTCCCGGCTGGACGTGCCGTAGTGGAAGACGGAGACGGACAGCGGGTGGCTCACGCCGATGGCGTAGGAGATCTGCGGGGTCAGAGACAACACACCACGCCGTTCCTCACACGGGTCAGGAGCAAAGACTCTCTGGAGGCCTCTCTGAGGAACTCGGGAGAGATTTGTTTGCAACTTTGGCCGATCCGAGGCACAAAAGAGAAAACGGACAGAACTAAAACAACACGAAATTGAATATTTGACTCAGATATTTCACTTCCTGTTCAAAAAGCCTCCTCACACACTTCCGCACATCAAATATAAATATGTAGCAACAGAGTTTTATATTTTGTTGAAATTATGTTGGTTTAAGAGTAAATATATATAGTGTATATATATATATCTATATATATATAGATACATATATACATAAAGCAGCAATTTTTTTTTTCGAGACTGCCTTTCACACACTTTCTACACTCTTGAACAAAAGAGCCATTACTTTTTAAACAGGAATTGATGTCAGAGGTTAAAGGTCGAATCTGTGCTGTTTATTTTGCGTGATAAACAGATAAACAGATCGGCCAAACGTTACTGAGCCGCGTTTCTCTCCACAGAAAAGCGGAGATCCCCGTTGGTCACCTGAACGAGGGCCCGTCTACAGAGTCCGGCCTTGACCAGGGACTTGGCCACCCAGCGGGCGGCGTAGGCGCCGGACCGGTCCACTTTGGAGTAGTCCTTCCCGGAGAAAGCCCCGCCCCCGTGCCCCCCCCAGCCGCCGTAGGTGTCCACGATGATTTTACGCCCGGTGAGCCCCGCATCGCCCTGAGGACACAGCACAAGGGTAGTCACGATAATAACATTTTCAGCTCGACACTGATACTCGATACCATTTTCAATACCACAAGGATAAAAACAAAGACCCCAAAATGTAACTGAATTTTGACAGGTTAGTGTCTTTAGTTATCGTGGCTGGTGGCCCACATTAATGACACTAACCCTGACCCTAACTCTAACCCTAACCCGGACCCTAAACCTAACCCTGACCCTGACCCTGACCCTCCAGCCTTCATAATTGTGAGAAATAAATATTTTTGGTTAAAGTTGTTTGGACTTACTGTACAAACCTATTTAACATCCACTATTTTAACATAATATTATGTATAGAGTTGAATTAAGTGTTTGCAAGATTAATTTCACTATTTTTAAATTAATGTCTATATTGCCATGAAGCAGTTAGGATTTTCTTTCCTGGGATCTTCCAATTGGTGACGTAATCAAAATGGCCGACTTGGATGTGGGCGGAGTCGGATATCCATCCTTGGCTTCCTGCAGTCTTGTACTTGTATCGACATCGGGGTATCGATACTTTTGAATATGAGTATCGTACGCGGATACAACGTTTTAGTATCGATACTTTTTTGAGTATCGATACTTTTGAAAACCCTACACAGCACATCTGGCACATCTGGCTGGAGGAGATTACATTTAACAAAGGGATAAGGAACATCTGGCTCACCTGAGGGCCTCCGATGAGGAACTTCCTGCTGGGCAGCAGGTGGTAGATGGTCTTGTCGTCCAGGTACTTTTCGGGGACCACCGCCCGCACCACCTTCTCCATCAGGCTGCGCCGGATCTCGTCCAGGGAGACGTCCGGGCTGTGCTGCACCGAGATGACCACCGTGTGAACGCGCAGCGGCCGCATGGCGCCGAAGCTGTCCTGGTACTCCACCGTCACCTGCAGCCGGGGAGGGGAACCTGAGGTTCTGGAGGAAGGGAACCTGAGGTTCTGGAGGAGGGGAACCTGACGTTTCCGAGGCCCTAAGGTCCTCCTCCGAGGGGAAGGGAGTAGGGTTGTCACGATACTAAAATTTTCAACTCGATACCGATACTCAGGAAAATACTCGATACTCGATACCACTTTCGATACCACAAGGATAAAAACAAAGACCACAAAATTTAACTGAATTGTCTTTCATTTCAAACTGACCTGTTACTGATGTTATCGTGACTGGTAGCCCACATTAATGACCCTAATCCTAACCCTCCAGCCTTCATAATAGTGAGAAATAAATATTTTTTGGTTAAACTTGTTTGGACTTATTGTACAAACCGATTTAATATACACTATTTTAACATAATATGTATAGAGTTGAATTCAGTGTTTGCAAGATTCATTTAACTCTTTTTAAATTAATGTCTATATTGCCATGAAGCAATTAGGATTTTCTTGCCTGGGATCTTCCTATTGGTGACCTAATCTAAATGGCCGACTTGGATGTGGGCGGAGTTGGATATGTAATTGATTAAGGGTAGCATGTTACTATTAGCCATTAGCCGCAGCTAGCAAGGCTAACGTCTTGTTAATGATCATAAACAACGTAAATAAATACATAAATAAATCAGAGAAAAGGGGCTACTTTTGAAAATGAGTATCGTATCCGGATACAACATTTTAGTATCGATACTTTTTTGAGTATCGATACTTTTGACAACCCTAGAGGGGAGGCTCACAGACCTGCGACTTGCAGTCCGGGCGGATCCAGGGACACTCCCCGTTGCGGGACAGCTCCCTCATCCGGTGGGTGAGTTTGTGGGCCAGCAGGAGGGTCAGCGGCATGCACTCCTCCGTCTCATCGGTGGCGTATCCAAACATCAGGCCCTGGGGGGCAAACGGCAGGTGAATGAGGTGAAGACACCTGCGGGACATCTGGATGACGATTAACTCATTGACTGCCAGAGTTTTTTGAGCATTTTGACAGATTTTTCAAGAGCCACAGAATAGTTTGTGTTATGACTATGTAAACACCGAACACACCAAAAGAAAGAGTAGACTCTCTTCTTTCATCAGGAAAAAAAATTTGTTTCTACCTTATTCCGTTCTTCCTCGACGTGCGTCTCAACGGCGACATGTTCTCTCAGAGCGAACCGTTACCTTTTTCTTATTTGCCTACAGTCTATGCTCATCTCCCATCAAAAGTGGCACTGCCCCCTAGAGGGTCAATTTGTTACTACATACTCTGTCTAGAAGCCTGATATTTACGGACAAGCTTTAGCAGATCGTCCCCCAGCCACTCTCGTTGAAAAACGTAAAAGACGTCTATAGACGTCTTTGGCAGCCAATGAGTTAATCATCATATTTGACATTTCCAAACATCAGCCGGTCCCTGTTCCTCCGACCTGACTAGTTAACTCATTTCTCTTTTGGACAATTATACTGGATGGGGCAGATTTGGATTTGAATTTGGCTTTGAGGAATCTCAGAACTATTTTAGACTAGAATCTGTCTTTTCAGTGCCTTGTTAAACGTTCGTCTTTGTAATATCTTTGTAATAAAACGTGTCTAATATGTCCTCTTACATCCACTCTTGGACTAACTGCACCTTCCGGGGTCCAAAGACTCGTCTCTGGGGATTCTCCCTCAAAGCTCCTGCTGTCGTGGCCTTTTAGTTTGTCTATTTGTGAAGATGAGCGCACCTTTCAGGGCCTCAAAAATAACAAATGTGGGCCTTGGGGCTCAGTGATTAGCCAAATAGGGCACATAGGTCCAGACAGTGCCTCAGGAGACATGGATGTTCTCCCATTGGGCTTCTGTTGGTGACTGTGAATCACTCTCATTGCGGAAAAGGCTTTAAATCCAGCTGTCTTTATTACCAGATTACCAGAGGCTAACACGTCTCACATAGAACGGGGATACCAGACCTGGTCCCCGGCTCCGATGTCCTCCTGGTCCCTGCCCTCGAACACGCAGTCGGATATCTCGGCGCACTGCGGCTCCAGAGCCACCAGCACGTTGCAGGTCTTGTAGTCGAAACCTGCGGGAGGCCAGAGTCAGCCTCAGGGAAAGATTTAAACCCACTCACGGCACCCGGAGGCCTCAGGTCGCACCTTTGGAGGAGTCGTCGTAGCCGATGTCCCTGATCGTGTTTCTGACCACCGCCTGGAGGTCCACTATGGCCCTGGACGTCACCTCCCCCACCAGGAGGATCATCCCGGTCTTTGCCACGCACTCTGTAACCAGTACACAAAAAAAATGGAGATTCATGCTCTCACATGAGCAGTTCGGCCTTTCTTGTGTTTTTTTTCTCTAATCTCTAATCTCCCACCAGGAGGCCATAAAACCACGCGGTGAGGCCAAAGGCTGCGAGGCCCTCAGACGTGGATTCGAGCACGTCGAAAAATGCAGCGAAAAATACAATTATGCGCACGACAACAGAATGCAACGACCTGCAGATCTCAGAAATCTCACATATCGAACGATGACGATTTGATGGTTTCACAAAGGACGTTAGCTAGAATTTGATGCAAACTATCTCATCGGGCAGCATATGTCTGCAAACAACTGGGAGATCGGAGGCCAGATGTTGGGGAAACCTCTCAGCTGAAATATGCAAAAGAAGACGGCAGAATTAGCAATAACATGGTGAGCCCAGGAGGAAAGACCTGTAAAGTCAGATGGGTTTGATATGGATTTGTGACGCATAAAACTTACCACACGCCACTTTGGAGTCCGGGTCTTGACTCAAGTACGCATCCAGGACAGCATCACTGATCTGATCACACATTTTATCTGGAATTTAAAAAAGTCCCAGAGTTAAATAAAAAAAGACGCAGAGCCTTCAATGTGTGTTTTTGAGTTTTAGAGAGCAGAAACGAGGAACAAAATCAGCTATTTGTCCACTTTAAGTCCCCCATGATCAAAGTTTGTGTGGAACCAATACATTTCATTCTAATTTCAACATTGAACAACCTCTTTATTAAGATTAAAAAATGTCAATTTGACTCTAAAAATCCTCCTCTTGAGTTTCTTTAAAATGACTTTTGTCCACACAAACCAGCAGAGAAGCTGTGTCCACTTTAGGTTTAAAGCATTTAAGCGTCCAGCAGTTTTAGGGGGGTCAGAAGGGGGGGGGGGGCATCGTACCGGAGTGTCCCTGTCCCACAGACTCGGACGTGAACAGGAAGGTCTTCCCTCTGCTGGTTCCGCTGACGGGGTTCATCTTCCTCTCCTCCGGCTGCACAAAAGCTCAATGTCCCGGACTCCAAAGCGCAGAGCGGAACTGGGACAGAAACCGGGCCGAAGTCTGCAGAACAAGTCCGCCCATAAAACCCCGACCGGCCCGAGAGGTGGGAGCCCAAAGGCTGCTGATAAGGGCGGAAATAAGCAATGGACGCTCTCCCCCTGCGGACAAAGGGGCAAGGTCTGCGCATAAAAGCTCCTAATATGAGCAGCGACTTCCTTTTGGAGCTCCACAGACAGTTGGCTGCTGTGGAGCTGGTTGTTTTCTGCCATGATGAACGGAACCGGCCTCCAGAGGGCGCTGTTGTTCCACTTTTACCGTGAGAGTGTCCTCATGATCATTATTATTCATTATTATTCAATCATTATCATTATTATTATTATTATTATTATTATTATTATTGTTGTTGTTGTTGTTGTTGTTGTTGTTGTTGTTATTATTATTATTGTTATTATTATTATTATTAGTAGTAGTAGTAGTAGTAGTAGTAGTAGTAGTAGTAGTAATAGTTCTAGTATTTCTATTATTATTGTTATTATCATTGTCATTAGTGTAATTATTATTATTTTTGTTATTGTTGTAGTTATTACAACAAAGAATAAAAAGAACTTGAGTGTTAAAATGTGTTGAATAAATAAATAGAAAAGAATGAAAGTCATTCATTTTTTCAGCCAGGTATGAATCTGATCCACAGTTTTGCACAGGCACATTTTAAAGCTTTTTTTTTTTTTTTTGTCTTATGTTCGTCTTTTTAATTATATAAAAAAGAGTGAGTTGATTTGTCGCATACGATTTTAATAATTTCCCATCAGTGTTGTTATTTTGAGCAGTAAAAATGTTTGCACTAGATAAAAAAACCACAAAAAAACAATTGAACGCGCTGAATACGTTCAGGTTTTTTCTTTTTTAACTCTTTCAGTCGTCTTGTTTATGCAAAAAAGACAAAATGCACATGCACTATTCAAATCACACAAAAAAGAATCAGGTCGGGTTGAAAGATGTGTCAATACCAAAGAATTTTGCCAGAGGCTCAAAAAAACATTTGTTTTGCTTAAGAGAGGAGACGTCTGAGGAGGGCCTGACACGTTAATTCTGCACTTTAAAGTGAACCAGGAGTTTAAATTGCCTTTTTTTCCAGACAGAAACGATTAAATGTAGCGGGAAGACGCAAATAAAAGACGGTTAGCGGTAGAAATCACATGCTGCTGAGCAATAAAGTCTTTGTCCTGTTAGATGGGACTAAGATTCAAATAGAGGAGTTTACTGGAAGAAGGAGGTGGGTTACATTTAACAAAGGGATAAGGAACTGTGTCAATCACAGTTAAGACACAGAACAGGAGCTTAACAAAGACAACAGACAAAAAAACTACTAAAACTCAAAAGAGTTAACTAAACCCTCAACCAGAACACAGACCACAATAGTTCCCCTCGACCTGGATCGGTTGAACTTTAACCAATTGAAATGAAGCCCTCTGGTCTGGTTTTAGTCACTGCTGTCAAATGGAGTCTTTCTGTGTCTTTTCTAACAAATCAGCTCTAAAAAGGTTAAAGATGCTACCACATTTAGTCCCACACTAAGTGTACTACACTACACTTTGGTTACCTTCTTAGAAATGTACTCACACTGTCTGTGTTTGGAAATCTGTGTTTAGAAATCTCATGTCTTAGCACATGCTGAGCTCAGTAAAGCTCTGAGAGGCGTTTCCGGACCTGTTCAGAGGATCGTTCAGTGGATTCCAGGATTTCTGGGTGACTGATGTAATTAGAATCGTGTTTTAATTTCTGTAAACGTGACAGTTGTTGTTCTTCCTCTCCTCAAGGTTTTGCCCCTTTCACTTCCCTTTCTGACACACAAAACCTTTCACTTTGTTGCGTAACGCATGTGAGGAAGAACAGATTTTTAAAAAAGTAACTAAATGATCCTAAAAGCTTAAGAGTCTGTATCTGTTTGGATTTTATAAGGATACATATATATTTATCAAATTAACTTTCTGTTGTTTTAAATGTGAGTTTAAAGAATTTAATTTAATGTCCATGTTTAACCACTAAAAGATGAAAAATGAATGAAAAATGAAAAATAAGTAAGTTGAAACAAAGACAGGACACTCAAAGATACAACAAAAAGACCAAAATTCAAACCCCAGAGGCACATTCTGGACTCTTTCCCATGGAAGAAATAAATTTAATGAAACGACAAAAAGGCCCAAAATTAGGACGACAAAAACAAAAAACAGGTTCAAAGTCCGCCTCTCTTCAAAGTCTGTCTCTCACTTAAAACATCCCAAGATTAAAAACGCCCCAAGTCAGACGTCACAATCTGAAGAACACAGATAAAACACGACCACAAAGAGACGAAAACCCGCAGCAGAAATGCAAATTTCTGCAGCCCGTCCTGTGCAGAGCAAACTACAGGAGAGGCTCCTCTTTCTGTTCAAACACTGAAAGTGGAGCTGGTCTGTGTGTAAAACCTCCGGGTGTGGTTTTTTTTTAAAAGACCTCCCGCTGGCCGGGAGCACGCCTGAAGAGCCGACGTGCCTCTGACAGAGCTCACTGCACGGCACAGGATGAGGAAATGAAGTGGAGCAAGCCTTTATTGCCTTGCAAATATCCCTGAGCTGAACGCGCCGAGAACCTTTGCCCGCCAGGATCCGCTCCCAGCCGATGGTAGGTGAGCCCAGCTGAGCTTTTCTGCTTTTTCTGGACCAGGGGGCAGCTAATCTGGAGTGGGAGGGGGTCCTTGATCAGGTCCTTGTGGTGCCTCTGGGGGTTGAGTCAGCCCTGTTTCCGTGAAGCAGGAAGTGAGAGCAGGGGCTGTGAGTTGTGAGTTGTGAGTTGTGGTTTTTCTGAGGCCGTCGACTCCGGTCAGAGCAGGGAGACGTCGATTGGGTGGTTAATGAGTAACCGGGCCGAGGTGCGGCCTTCGCTCACCGTGTGACTTCCACAGAGACCAGAAGTCCTGATCCGTGCCTTTGTTTATCCCACCAGCCGGACGCTAACAAACTGGGAAGTTGTGCTTTTTTCTACGAAACTGAGTTTTAACTTTTTGGACCGAGAACCAGAGCTGAAATGGTGACTAATCCTCTCTTTTTTTTAAACTTTACTTCCTTACTTCACTTCTTTAGTACCGCAAAAGCTCCTGTTTGTGTCTTGCTGTTGCTTAAATGTTGTTTCCCGCTGGACTGATGTGGATTCGGCTTGTGTCAGACTGTGTTTCCGTGCCTTAAAGCTTTCCTCACCTCTCACTGTTTGTCCGCTGTCCCCGACAGGCCGACCCCAGCCCCCCGCCGCCCGTCGCCCCGGGCAACGCCGCCGCCGCCGGCCCCTCGGCCAAGATGGACCAGGTGCAGAGCCAGGTGAACGAGGTCAAAGTCATCCTCAAAGACAACATCAACAAGGTGCTGGAGAGGGGCGACCGGCTGGACGAACTGATCGGCAAAACCGACGACCTGCAGGCCTCCGTGAGTCCTGGTGATGATGAGGATGATGATGATGATGATGATGATGATGATGATGGTGATGGTGATGATGGCGTGCGAGCCTGATCTAATTTTGTTCACCGTGTGTGGATCATGTAAACGAAGCCGCCCACAGATACCAAAACTGCCAAAGAGCATCTTTAACAAAGTGTTTTCACCAAATCTGAAGATCTTTGGATTAAAATTAGTCATCTCTAAAGATCCTGACCGGGTTCTGACCCACAGTTTCAGGTTTTATCTCAGTAGAAACTCCAGTATCAGGATTTTTGTGCGTTTTGCTCTCATCCATGTGCACAATTATGGAAAGAAAATTCCTTTATTTGTCCCTGTAAGAGAGACATTTGATGATTTTTTCCTAAGTAATCTACACAAAAATCAAGAAAAGCTCAGTATTTGCGAGCTACTGTGTTAAAGGCCACATTTATCCACCCGAATTCTCCAGAATTTCTCAGTGATTGTTGCATAATTTCCGCTCATAGTGTCAAGAGTTTCTCATGATACTAAACAAATTCATGCAAATCAGTGTGCACGCAAGCCCACAAAAGCTTACAGAAGTGTTTAAAAGGGGCATAGATAGTCTCTTTGTTTTTTACGAATCTGTCGGGGGGGGGGCCATCATAAACTCCGGTTAATGTGAAGAAAATGGACGTGTGAAGCTGTCAGTTCAACGCTAGCTGCAGGGAAGCTGACGGGCAGGAAGAGGAAGCAGTGTGAGGGCGAGAGACGGAGGAGTGGGGAGATAAAACACAGAGGAGGATTTAGAGCGCATGAAGGGAGAGATTGTTAAAACATTCGGGTCAAGGCTGGCAGAAAAAGCCGGGAGGTTCACACCGCTGTCACTCAGTCCCCGGCGTTCAGAGGAGTTTGACTTTGTCCTGTGGAAATCAATACCACCCCCCACACACACACACACAAACACACACGCCACAAAAAAGTGCTGACTTTTGAGGTTTTAAACCTCTGTAATCAAAGCTGATAACCGGAAGAAAAACAAAAAAGTCACACTGACACAGCTTTCTGAAGATATTTCCAGAAACAATGAAGCAGACTAGAGTGACTGAGAGCTTTTTAAGACAGATTTTCAAAGAATCTTGACTCGTAGAGTTCACTCAGCCCATTTTGTGCTAAAGTTCCTTTAAAAAAGAAAGATGGCCAAAGTTCAGGTCCTAACTTTATTGATACAACTTAACTGGCAGGTCGCAATACCAGGCAGAAGCTAATCTCTTTCGCTGATTATCTTTAGTTTAAATAACTTCTTTCACTCGTCCTCAAACCATTTTTCCTCAGATTGGTTGGTCCGTGTTGATCTGTCATAGATGACCACAAAGATGGGCCAAACATAGCATTTAGCATAATGCTAGCCACGCTAAATGCTATTCTAGACTAAGCTCAATTTTATTACTTATTTTTCAGACTTTTCAAACATGAATTTCAGACTTGTTGACACGATTCATGTTTCATCACATGAAGACTTTTTAATGATTTCTATAAACCCTGCGGCACATTCAGTCGTTCACGAGATCAATTGGCAGGTTAGCCATTACTTTATGAGCAATAAAAGAAATGGACCACGATTACAGGTTATAAACATAACAGGTTACAGGTTATAAACATAACCATATTAAAGAGGGCAATTTGATTAAAAAATCTCTATTTGTGTTCATTCAGTATTTCCACCTTTCCTGTTTGTTTAGCAAATTTTGACTTGTTTCAGCGAATTATTCAAATACCTTTGCTCACTTAACTGTGTATCTGTCATTTATCCTTTATTTCATAATCAAAATGTTTTTTTAACTTAGTCTACAATGACATATAAAGCAAATTATGCATCATTGGGCTTTATTTCAGTCGGCCATCTTATGCTAACTTAGCTAACAAGGTTAACAAGTCTGTTAAAAACTAACCACTACTTCAACAGTCACACTTCACTGAAGCCACAATTTTTTCTTTTTAACCAACTTCTTGTATATAAATATGTATATGTTATGAGCTATTTTGGCTCATTTAACTGTAGTCTTTTTTTTACTTAGGGCTTATTTGAAAAACCTTTTGCATTTACATTTTTTTTGCAAGTCACAGCTCAATGTTATTGATCTTTGAATGAGTAAAGTCAGACTTTTGATTTGTAGAGCTCACTCAGTCCTTCCTTTCGGTGCATTGGTCAATAGGAAATGACTCAGTTGTGCCTTCGACTTCATACCCAGCTTTTCAACAAGGATCTTTTGCAAGATATTGCCAAACTTTTAAATTCCACTTTCATTGTTTGCTATTGTACAACTTCTGGCTACCCGTCTCACAGCTAATGTGTCTTTAATCTTCCTAGAATACAAATAACTAATAATGTTCGGGTCTCCTCCCCAATTTGAAATTTAACATCCAATAAGCTTTTAATAGCTCATGTAATTTGTATTTTTTCTCATGTTTGTCAAAAAATTATCAGCTGACTTTTCTTAATTGGTTTGAGAACATTTAAAAACCTTTACTCAAAGAAGTCTAACTTGTTAAATGTAAAAATTCCTTTACCTTTATTTAAAATATAATTTTAAACATTTGTAATTGTTTAATATTTGGGTATGAAAAGCAGGATGTCTTTTTAGTTGAAGAAACTTTCCAGATATCCCAAACCTTTGTTCACAACTTTAATCAAGAAAATGGCTGAGGGACAATATAGATTTAAATGATCTTTTTAATACCTGGAATTTGGCTGTTTTCGAGCAGATATACAGATTTCCTCCTCCCCATTTCTGCTCTCTAAAGCGTCCTCTCTCGTTTCAGGCCGACTCTTTCCAAAGGACGTCCACGCGAGTTGCCCGGAAATACTGGTGGAAGAACGTTAAAATGATGATCATAATCGGCGTGGTGGTGCTGATCGTGCTGATCCTCATCATCCTCGCCGCCACCAACGTCATATGAACCCTCGCTTTCGGACTTTAAAGACAAAAGGCGACTCCCCCCTCCCCCAACTCCCTGGGAAAATAAGTATGTAAATTCAAACCGGAGATGATTATCGATTAATGAGGTTACTTAGCAAAAAGACTTTGATAATGTTAAGGTGGAAATAGGAGTTTGAGAGATTCAACTGTTCTGATGTGAGCTGTCTTTAACACTCCAGCGGTCACAGACACAACGTACAACCACTAATGATGCAACACAGCTCCAAGGGAGTGTTTATTCTTTTTATTTTGAAGCATCTAAATGTCCAATACAGCTTGTGTGTGTATATATATATATATATATATAATGTGTTTATGACTGCCAAACTCTGTAATATCTTGTGTATAATGTGACTGATGACTTATGATAAAGAGGGATAATGTTGGTATTGTAAATGTGAGCGGTTCGTTCCAACAAACACGAGGTTTCAGTTAAGGAGGAAACAAAGCAAATTCACAGGCAGCCGTTGAAAACATTAAATACAAAAACAAAGAACCAAACAAACAAAGAGGAACACAAAAGGCAAAAACTCCAGGCTAACTAAATGAATCCAAACCACTGAAATAGTGGGGTAAATATGGGGGAATGGGATCCAGGTCACTCCTCCTGTACTGTCTTACGACTAGCTATGAGAACTCTGTTGCCCCGTCTCTCCGTCCCAACGTTTCCACCAGCGCACGGCAGACTTTCATCGCTCTGATGCCTATGGAAAACAAACAAACACAAATCAGCTATAGACTAAAACCACACCGTCCAATTTCTAAAAGAAAATGAGGAATCCCCTTTGTTTTTTTACGTCCAGTGTAGTAAAAAGAATAAAAAAAACAAACTGAGAACAATTATTTTAACACTTTACAGATTAAAGAGTTGGGAAGTTAAAACTAGAGATCCTGAAGTGTCATAAACTGAAGAGGTCAAAGCCAAAATACTAAATGGAAGGAACCTTTGGATTGGTCAAAGTACACGTTAAAGAAGGCATTACATGCAAAAAACTCTGCAAATGTGGCGACACTTAGATTCTCCTTGTTTTACCAAAGGTTGTAAGAGGAAAATGTGTTACAAGAAAATTAACAAAAGAGGAGTCTTTTCCATCGCTGTCAGTAACACAAAACAGAAAAAATACAATTACACAAAGTAAAGCACTTTATCCCCCATCACAGTAGAGTCCAAAATCGAACCATGTTTAAGCTCTGGGACTACTGGCTAAATAAAGAAACAAGCATTTTAGGTAAGATTAGGAGTGCATAAATTTACATTGGGAACTGGAAAGTCCAGAGAAAGCTGTACATCTCCTTTGAAAAGCAAATAGTTATTTTTTTACATACTTATAAATCATTACTTGTGGGGGGGGTAAGGGCCTGTAAAAAATGACAATTACATGTGTATATTTTTAAGTCTTACATTACAAAAAACAGTTGCAAAGAAATTAAAAATGGAAAGAAAGATGACAAAGCTGGACGTGTCCCATATTGTTTAGTTTAGAAATGCTGATACAGGATGTTGTAAGACCATACCAAATGGCAGCATTCGAGAGCGTATGCTTCTCGTACCCGGTCCGCATTGAGCGGGCCCTGAGAGTATCTGGGAGTCAGCTCATGGCCTGCAAGGAAGCTCCGCTGGCAGGTACAAACAAGGTATGTCAGAGTTAGGAGACAACATACTTCCTTTTCTGTTTCCTTTGCACATCCTTAACTTTGGCATCCATTTACTGTAGTAGCAGTACTTTACCTGTTAACTTTACAGTTTAAAAAAAAAAAAAAAAAAAAAAGAGAAGGTGCAAAAAGAGGCAGCAGAAGGCCGGCTGTTAAAGATAATCGCCACAAAACAGCGTAGCGTCTATGTTACCACTACTGAAAAGCACTTGAGGGTGCTGAGAGAAAGAAATTTACATGAGAACAAAAAAAAAAAAAATTACACAAAATGTAAACAAAACACCAAAGTTAATGTAACTACTTTAAGTTTAAGCCAAGAGGTGGATTTTTGTGCCCACGTACCGACTGCAGAGGGGAGGCTGTCCTGCGTTAGTACGGCTTGTAGCTGTTGGTGTGACCACCGCGCCGCGGCGATTTGCCGTACCCGCCAGACTGATCTGTGGGGGGGGGGGGGGGTGGGGGGGGGGGTAAAGGGTCAGTTGAAGGCTTTCTGCTCTGGGGGAGCCGAGCTGTGGGTGGTCAGCCGGGGCTGAGCTCACCGTAGCCGTAGTAGTTGTTGTAGCCGGTGTAGTCGTAGCCGCCGTAGCCTCCGTAACCCTGGTTACCGTAACCGTAATTCCCATAATTGCCGTAACCTTGGTTCCAGTAGTTTCCGTAGCCCTGGTTCCAGTTCTGGTTGGGGCCTGCAGCGGAGCAGAGAGCACACAGACACCCATTCCATAAAACCGGCTTTGAGCCGGGACCGACTCCTCTTATTAGCATTCAGATTAACAGCTGCATCCATTACGCGACCCGCACAGGGCCGGAATCTAACCCAAAACCTGCTTGGCTTAATCGGACCTGCTCCCAGGATGCTGGGACATGGAGGGGAGTACTGATCCGGGATTAGAGGACCACTATGGCTGCGAGCTAAGCTAACTGTGGGGCCGTCTGTAGGCAGCCTCCCCAGCCCTGAGTCATCCCTGCGGGGGCAGAATTACTCACCGCCTCCTCTTCCTCGAGACCGGGACGAGTACCCGCCTCTGCCTCCCCAGTACTGCTGCTGCTGGTACTGCTCCTTGGATACGGCCACCTTTATCTCACACTGCGGGAGCCAATCAGAGGGACGCGTTAGGCCTGCAGGCCACACGGCGGCCGGCGGAGGAAAGAGGGAACGGGCACCTTGCTGAGGCCGATGTTGTGGTACTTCTTCTCCATGATCCTCTTCACCGGCTCCTCCTCTTTGAAGGTGATGAAGCAGAAGCCTCTCCTTTTGTTGGTTTTGTTCTCCATGGGAAGTTCGATGGACTCCACCTGATGGCATGGACGCCACAAACACCCAGGAGGAACGTGTGGGTCACTTCTGCCGCTCTGCAGCCTCACCAAAACCTATTTCATCAACACAAACCTCTCCGAAGGCACCAAAGTATTCTCGGACTTTGTCCTCGGGGGTGTCCGGGGAAAGGCCGCCGACAAAAATCTTCTTGACGGGCTCCTTGCTTTTCATGGCCTTCGCTTTTTTGGGGTCGATCACCTTCCCGTTCAGTTTGTGCTCCTTCTGGGAGGCGACCTGCACAGTGACACGAGTTAAACGGGAGGCAAAGAAAGTTAAAAGGTAGAAAACAGCTCAGAAAACCTGAGAAAGAAACAGCACCGCTTAAGAAGAGTGAACTTCTTCTAAACAAAATCTGCCAGATTAAATTACTTTAAGAGGCTTGTTTTTTTGCCAATAAAGACTGATCTGCCATTGCCTCAATTTATAAATAATATAAGACCTTATCTTTATCTACTCTTGCCATCCAGCTTTGAATGACAGAGGAAATCTGACGTGTGGATGAGGTCATTTTGTGAGGTTTCTATGTATAGAAATAAAGCTAATATTAAACAAAAACACATAGAAGCCATTGTTAAGCTTTGAATGTAGTTTCAGTATTCTCAGTCTTTGATAAATCGGGCAGGCATTAGTTTCATAGAGCATCCTTTCCATCAACACGAGGTGTCAGAGGCTGAACTGATCATCTTTTACAGGAATCTTCTTTAAAAGTTACAAAACATGACAATGTGGCAGAATTGTGTTTAATCTAGGATTAATTTCCTGCTCACAGCTTGGTTTGACAGCCCCAAAAGGACCAGGCTTTTACCTTATCGACGCTTTCGGGTTCTTTGAAGAGCACAAAGCCGAACCCCCTGGAGCGCCCCGTCATGGGGTCCAGCTTTAACGTGCAGTCCACCACCTCCCCGAACTTTGAGAAGTAATCCTTCAGGTCCTTCTTGGTCGTGTCCCAGCTGAGCCCTCCAACAAACATCTTCCTGTTGTCAGAAAAATGGTTTCAGGAGGCAGACGAGAGTGTGAGGGTGGATAATAACAACACACACATATCCTTAAGCTGTACAGAAGCAAAAAACTATCCATTCTGGTTATGGTCTGGGTCAGACTCTGATCCTTGAGGGCTGCTGTCCAGCAGGTTTGAGATGTTTGATTCCAGTCAATGGGACTGTTGTCCAGTCTCATTCAGTTGTGTCTTAACTGGGAAACATCTCAAGCCCGCAGGGCAGCAGACAGGAACAGGAAAGCCACTGTTTGCTGTGAAGAGGAGTGCTGTTACCCTTCATCCTCCTCGTTTTTACTGGCGTCGATCCTGGACCCCTCGGCCTCGCCCCCCATCAGGCCAACGTCCCCAGCCGCCGACATGGGGTCGTCGTTGTTGGCCTCCCCGTCCTCCTCCATCCTCATCATGCTGGAGTCTTCGCTGAATTCGTAATCTTCCGACATGTTAAGTAGTTTTAAGTAGTCTGCTTTCTAATAAACTGGCGCTTGAAACCAAAAAAGGGACGAGTCAAAGCAGAAGCTAAGTTAGCCGTCTAGCTAATGGCTAGCTGATATTTAATACCATAAATAGTTTTGTGGGACGTTCAGCGCGAACAGAAACGCGTTAGCTTCTGTAGGCTAGGCTAAGTGTGGTGTTTTTTTCAATAAAGACGAGGAGAAATGTATTGCCAGTGAGGATTCTTCCTATAGCTAATTTACGAGCGTCGTTTTGTTTTTAATGGCAAGGTTTTCTTCTTCGTCTTTTTAAATTAAAGCACTCAGATGTAGAACAGCGCCACCCAGAGGGTGAAGTGGCGGCCTGTTTAAACGCTCCGGGTCCAGACTTCCGCCACCTAGCGGCGAGGAGGCCGAAACGACAGCCGAACATGTGAACTGGTCGCCTGCTTTGTGTGTTGGTTAGTAACGAGGGTAATGGCACTGATAGCGAGTTAGAGGAGAAACACAACGTCCAAAAAAGAAGCAAATTCCCCTCTCGTCGGTGGTCCCGGGCTTCAGGTGATTGGGCCGGGCAGGAGAAGCGGGGAGGACCGGGGCGCTGCCGGGCTGTCCGAACCGAGCTAACGCCAGCTAACGTCTCCAGCCCAACTCCTTCGTAATTATTAGAGAAAAATGGCCTCTGTCTCTATTCCTGCGTGCACCCGTGCCCTGCTGCTGGATATCGAGGGGACAACCACTCCAATCACATTCGTGAAGGTAAAAAAAAAAAGGCTCTTGTCTCAACGGTTTTGCTAACGGCTACCTGTCACTGGACAGTGAACTGGAAAAAAGGGCTAATTTTCTCCGTTTGACCTTTGGAGACACAGCAAAGACGTAAAATATATTAAAATAATCTCGGCATTAATTATTTGCCGGAACGGTTGAATTAATCTGCTTTTTCGTGATTTCTTTCATATTTACAAACCACCCTTTTGCTGCCTTCATGTTCTCGAAAATATATCGGAATCGCGACATTTCCTCTCATTTGTTAAATTAATATCAACCATTAAACTCAAGTCAAGACCATATATTTTGATAATCGTATAACCATCTAGTTATTTATGAAAATCTGTGCACATTTAAATTTTTTAAAAACTATGTTTATGTAAATCGTGTAATACACTTCACTCCAATTTCACTTAAATGCAGCATGAGACTCAAACTCTTTATTTTAAATGTTGTAGCAAGACAGAAATAAAGTAAAAAATGGTCATTTTATTGACAAATATTCATTTGAAACTTTATGAATAACTGCAAACATGTCGATATTCTTTTCAGGACATCCTGTTTCCCTACATCACGGAGCACCTGGAGGATTACCTGTCCACTCACTGGGAGGAAGATGAGTGCAAGCAAGACGTCCACCTGCTGAAGAAACAGGTTTGTTTTTTCATGTGCAGTTTCCCTTGTTTAAAATGAAGTCCATCCCAGGCTGTAAATTAGACTTTTTGGGAAGATTTTCTCTGTTTATCTGACTTCTGATCAGTTGGCTTGGCAACAGGACAAACCAGTAAGATGTCTGGTTGGATGATGAGTTTGTAAACCAACTTATCCCTCTTTCTGAGGATTAAAGCTTTCCAGAATCGGGCCTTTGGCAACTCCTTATTATTTTCTGAAGTGCAACGCGTTAACCGGGCCGTCTGGGGTTGCAGAGCGAGGAGGACATGAGGCAGAACCGGGCCTGTCCCGTGCACGCCGTGGACCAGACGGTGCACACGGACGAGGAGAAGGCCATCCGGGAGGTGGTGGAGACGGTGCTGTGGCAGATGGCGTCGGACAGGAAGTCCACGGCGCTCAAGCAGCTCCAGGGTCACATGTGGAGGGCGGCCTATTCTTCAGGGAGAATCAAAGGCGAGTAAGTACTCTGATCCTTTTCCTAAGATTCCCATTAAACCTGCTTTGAGCTTCAGAAAGAAGGAGCTCACATAGAAGGAAAACCGCTGTCATTCTGCTAAATATTGTGGATTTCCCCCTGTTAATGTCAGCTAAAGAACTAAATTTGAAGCTTCAATCTGCATTTAGTGTCTTTGTGCAAACTTAGGAGAAAAACAGTTTATTTTGGATGGTAATGCATCGATTTAAGATCTTAAGTAGAGTTTTTTTTCCTGAATAAAATATTTCTCGATGTGGTACGACCATATTTTGTAGCTGTAATTCTCTATTTTTGTTTGATACGATCACCCGAACTCAAAGATGCGAGTTTAAATGTCTCGGAATTGTATTTCTGACAGTAATTGGAGCCAGTACTCGGGTCTTCATCCAGGTTCCTTTAGCTTTCTGTGAGCGTCCAGATAAAAAAAAAACACACACTGATCTTCACGCTGTTGTGCTGCTGCTGACAGGATCTATCCAGACGTGGTCCCGTCCATCAGGGCGTGGCGAGAGCGCGGCCTGAAAGTCTACATCTACTCCTCGGGCAGCGTGGAGGCTCAGAAGCTGCTGTTCGGACACTCCGTGGAGGGAGACGTGTTAGAGGTGAGAGGCCGGCCCGGTGCCGAACCCCCGAGAGAGAAGCAGCCCTCAAAAACGCTTTCCTGCCGCTTTCAGTTATTCGACGGCCACTTCGACACTACGATAGGCGCCAAGGTGGACGCCAAAAGCTACGAGAGGATCGCCGAGCGGATCGGCTGCCGGCCGGAGGAGGTCACGTTCCTCACAGACGTCAGCAGAGGTGAGCAGAGAGCCGACTCCCTACCAAGAGAGAGCGTCTTTAACGCCGTTTAAAGAGGCTGTATTTAAAAAAAAAAAAGAAAGAAATTACAATTAATAAAAATAATAACATTTTAAACATTTGAAAATGCCCCAAAAATTAAAAACATTTAAAAAAAAAAAAAATATTGTAAAAAAATATTTTTACTGGGAAAAAAAATGTATGGAAAAAAAAAAAAATGTCATAAAAACTATTTTACAGTCCTGAAGAGTTTCTGCTTTCTTCAAAGTTTTTAGTGAGGCATCCCGAGATAAAAATAAAAAAAAGCTACTGTGTAGTTGTAATTTGTTGTTTTTATTGTACAAAAACCCAAAAGGAAAGAATTATAGTGACTGTATTTATGTAGGAAAACAGTTTTTTTTTTAAAAACAGCCCAAAAAAGTTTCAATCAGTATTATAAGAAAAAAATCTTGTTAAAAAGAAAAATAGATATAATAAAAAATAAATAAATCATCCCAAAAAAAGTGGGACTCAGACCTAATTTCAGTAAATGGAAGTTGTTTTTGTTTTTTTAGAATATATATATATATATATATATATATATATATATATGTTTTTGGCTGAGAAGGTCCTCGATCTTCTCCCTGAATAAGTGCTGTAAATTTGTCCTCCCGCAGAGGCCAAAGCGGCGGAGGAGGCGGGCCTCAGCGTTCTGGTGGTGGTCCGGCCCGGAAACATGGAGCTGACGGAGGAGGAGAGCGCCCACTACAGCCTGCTGACCTCCTTCAGCCAGCTGCAGCCGGGGGGCCGGGCCTAGGCCCCCCCCCCACCTCACCCTGCCACTTCCCCTCTCTTCCCATCTCCACCTCTGCCCCTTTCTTTTTTCTTTTGGCGTCCGGCCGGCGCTGTTCAGAAGCCGCCACGCACCCCGAAACCAAGAGGAGGCCAGAAGGAAACAGTTTCTGTAACTTTCTATCTGTTTGATGAACTTTGTCTTCGACTGCCACTTTCCACTTCTGTGTCTGTGTGTATGTGTGTTTAGAAAGAATGGATGGTCCTAGGACGGTAAGCATTTTTCGGGGGCCCCAAATTGGTACAGATGTGTGTGTGTGTGTGTGTGAGAGAGAGAGAGAGCTGTATTCGCCTCCATTTTGGAAACCTGCCAGACGTGTTTCCCGTGTGGTGTTTTAGGTCGTAGGAAAGCCCTCCGCTCCACCTCTGTGCTGAAGTCTTAACCCCTGAGCTGGCGTTCATCTGTCATGTGGATGCTGGACAGAAATATTGAAAAAAAACAACCTCAATGTTGCCAAACCGATCACCCATTATAGGAAGGGAAGCAAACTTCTAATAAAGGCCTCGTCTCCCACAGAAGCACGTGCCTGTCAGTCCAGATTTTGGCTCACTCTGCTACCACCACGTTTAACTTTTTAATTCACTCATTCCAGATTAGTAATTTCAATCCCAGAGCAGGAATGGCATCTCTCTGCATAGCTGTTGTTAAGATGCTCCAATTTTCCGTCACAGAGCTCACGTTTCCCATAACAACCAGGAGAGGAAGGCTTTAAATCGTCTTCCATGGTAAGCTTTGAATCCTGGACGTCTCCTTTTTTCATCTCGATTTGAGGTCTTTTTTCAGGCGTTGATCCTCAGAAGGCTCAGTAAGGCGCTCAATCAGATCAACAACTTTCCCGTAACCATGGTTACCCCCCCAGCCCCACGTCACGCCTGCATCTCTCAGACTTGTTGCATCATTTAATAGTCCAGCCTTTTAAAGCCTGATAGACATTTATCACTTATTATCGTGGAACAAGTCCAGATTTTTGTGTGAACTGTTTTTTTGTTTGTTTTTTACCATAAACGAATGCAAAAGTTTTCGGAAACTATATCACATATGACTCCCATCACACGGTTAGAAGGAACTGTTGTAGCATATTTCCTTTGTTTTATAGTAAAAATTTGCAGAAACTACTGAAGACAAACACAACCCCAAAATCGGATTCCTATGTCGTTTTATTGATTCTGGTCTGAAAACAAATACGAGCATCGTAAACCAAAATCTTCATATACTGAAAAGGGCATTTTGCAAAATGATAAAAATATATTTTTCGTAAAAACGGATAAAACCTTCAAAGCTAAACGCTGCATTTGATTGTGTAAACCGTGCCAGAAGCAGCTTTTGAACGCTGTGGCTCCGCCTACATCTGCTCCATCGGGGCCCCGAGCGGCGTGGAGGGCTCCGCCTCCTCGCCGTAGTCCTCCGGTCGCCCGGCAACCGCGAACGCCATCCGGAAGCTGCAGTGGCGAAACTCCACGCCCAGCGTGCCGATGAAGACGAGGAACAGCATGACCAGGGCCCACTGGCACCGGGCGGCGTGCATGGGGAGGTCGGCGAACAGGAGGGCTGGGGGGGGCGGAGTTAAGTCAAGTAAAACTTTATTTATATAGCACATTTAAAATAACCAACGTTGCCAAAGTGTTGTACATAAAAAGCATGTATATGTGATTTTAACTCATTTACTGCCAGCCATTTTCAGAACAGAGAGTCCCATACTGCCAGAGTTTTTAGAGCATTTTGACTGATTTTTCAAGAGCCACAGAATAGTTTGTGCTATGACTATGTAAACACCGAACACACCAAAAGAAAGAGTAGACTCTCTTCTTTCATCAGGAAAAAAAAATTGTTTCCACCTTATTCCGTTCTTCCTCGACTTGCGTCTCACCGGCGACATGTTCTCTCAGAGCGAACCATTGCGTTTTTTCTTATTTGCCTACAGTCTATGCTCATCTCTCATCAAAAGTGGCACTGCCACCTAGAGGGTCAATTTGTTACTACATACTCTGTCTAGAAGCCTGATATTTACGGACAAGCTTTAGCAGATCGTCCCCCAAGACACTCGCGTTGAAAAACATAAAAGACGTCTATAGACGTCTTTGGCAGCCAATGAGTTAACTGCCGTACGGCCAGTGTGGAAGGATACAGTACATCAGGACGACGCAGAGCGTGACGGCGGCGGCCAGCAGGAAGCGGGCGGCGGCCAGGCGGCGGCCCTCTCCGCGCGGGTCGGCCTGCAGGGTGAGGTAGGCCTGCGCCCAGCAGTACAGCGTGCCCAGGCCGAAGGTCAGCAGGGTGCCCAGGTCGTGGATCGCCATCATGGAAAACAGCTGGAAGCCCCCGGGCGGTCAGCGGGAAGTCTTGAGGAGGTGTTCGGCGGGTTGACCCCGGAGGGCTCCTTACCTGGAAGTTCCCCACGAGGGTCATGCCCAGGCAGCCCAGGGAGAAGGCCAGCAGGCTGAGGAAGTTCAGCCAGGCTTTGCCGGTCCGGTTCCTCAGCTGCAGGAACCGCAGGACGCCGATGACGAAGCCTGAAACACACAAACCGGACAAACCCGGGTCAATCCGCCGGAGAAAATAGCTCCTGAAGATTCCTACGCAACGTTTGGGCTAGGGATCCCGGCCTATGAGAGCATGTATTTAAGTTTAAAGTTATTTATCTACTTACTTAGTTATCAGACTCATAATGAACAGGGATTTACTCTGATAACAACTCAATGGTTAGGACACAGACCTGTGGGTTAGAGATGCTAATGCTAATGCTCAGGTGGGATCAGACTTTTAAAAAAAACTGGATCAGGAGTCTGGATCATTTTCTCCTGCTGGCCGATACGCAGTTTTTTGCGAATATCGGCGGTCAATCCCATCCAGATATCGGATCGGGACCAGCCTAGTTTGGGTCCCTGAAAGCAGCAGCGTGTGTGTGAGTGTGTGTGTGTGTGTGTTTGTGTGTGCATGTGTGTGTGGTGGCTCAGGTGGGTTTAAGTCAGCCAATGAGTCCCCGGTTCAGATGTCTAAAACAGGACAGAGCCCGGAAACAAGGAGCTTCAATGTATGAAAATGGCTTTAATTTAAAGCCTGGAACAAGTACTTTACGGGTGAATGGACACCAGCCATCCCGTCCGAACCAGAGCAGAGTCCCAAACCGTGGCCTTTGACCAGAGGGTCTAACATCTGGACATCTGGACTCTCCTTACCGGAGAAGGCCGCCAGGTTCATGACCTCGCTGAAGAAGCAGCTGGCCGGCGGGTAGTTCCCGGTGATGCTGCAACGAGGAAAAACTCTTGGATTAGGTTCCTGCCGTCTCGGGTTGTCAATAAAAGCGACACAGAGATGCTCACCTGATGAAGGGAGGATACAAGGTTCCATTTCTTCCTCTGGAACTAACAACAGGTCAGATTAACACAGAGATAAACCCCATTTATGCCCTACAGGATGCAAACGGAGGATGTTTCTTACATGTACTGTCCAGTCAGGGGTGTAACGATCCCATTGTAAACGGCAATAAAGTACCTGTTTAAATGCAGAGAGAAAGTCAAACATCAGGGAGAAAAATATGCTGAAAGATGTTGTGAAAAGGTCCAACTTAAACCTATTTTATCTTTTCTGTCTTTGTGCCAACCAGTCGCCTTGTTCTGACTCAGATTAATTGGCGACTGTTTAATATCTGTCACAAAGAGAGAAACTTTGGGCTGGAATTGTTGGCTTTGTGGTCATTTGTTGCCGTTTTTGTGCGTCTTTGTGGCCTCCTGCCACAACGACAAAACGCCGCACGGCAGCCAATGAAACGAGGAGTCAGAAAAACTCACACCATCCAGAGCCCGCTGCACGTTCCCAGGGCGAACATGGGGGGGAGAAGGGCCCACAGGCTGAAAGGCTCCATGTTCCTCCTGCGGACACCACAGAAGAAGAACCTGTCAGTCCTCCCTCGGTAGCTCGTCGGGGAATCTTCTTTGACTAGGTTTACTTCGGATGGTCTCCTTTGTCTCATTTCTATCTCTCACACATCGTGCCCACACGTCAAAGTCAAAGATACGAGACACGACTATTTACTAAAAAGCAAAAGCATCCGACTTTGTGGATCTCCTCCCAGAACGGGGTCCCGGGACGTTCTCCACAGAGGAACCTTTGGAGGCGTCTCCCAGGGGATCCCTGCAGGAAAGAGAAACAGCTCATAATACCACATTCCAGTCATTTATGGGATCTTTTTTTTTTTATTATAGAAGTCCCCTAAAAGGTATCGGAAACCATTCATAATGTCACATTCAAGGAATTTATGGAATCCTTTTTTTTTTTATGAAAGTCCCCCAAAAAGTATCGGAAACTATTCATAAGATGATATTCAGGGATTTTTTTCACATTAGTTGCCACTCATTTAAATTTATATGTTATTGGGGTTATTTCACAAAGCCAGAATGCCCATATGTTGAGTAAAGTTGTTTTATATGAAAATAGAGAGGCCTAATAATATTAACACATACCTGTAAAACAAATTACAGCCACGGCTTTGTCCAAACAGAGACCACCTGGTTTAACTTCAGCCGTTATATAAAAAAAGGGAGGATAAAATGTATCCCCCGACCTATTCCTGATGTCGGTGATGAGGAGAAGTGTTTATTTTGTTTTTGTGTGTAAGCGGGTCTTACCTTTCCTCTCTGCTGGCGGCGGGATTTGGCCTTCAGAATTCGCCTCACTACGACCGGTAAACCTACCGGGGGGATTTGGCCTCTCGTGCCCGGTTAACGTGCCCCAGCTGCCGTCCTGCGCGCGCGGGGTCTCACCTGAGGCTTTCGGCTGGGACGGTTTCGTTTCTGCACTATACGTGTGACGTCATCGTGTAGATAAAATGGGCGGTTTTCAGGGGCGGCCACGCGCCCGGACGCGCACGCGGGGCACCGGAGGGGCACGCGGCCCCCACCTTATAACACCTTATGACAGCCAACGTGTTCACACAGCTGATATCTACCTGCTCAATCAGATATGCT